GGCCAGTGAAGAGAAGCCCCGGCGTGGTACAGGTCACGGGCAGGCAGGAGGCTGCTGCCCTGCAGAGGAGGAGACTTGGTGAAAAGAAGTACTGTTATAGGACAGCCCCGATATCGAATGGGTTGCCTGGCTGTGGGTCCTCACCCGCGCGCTTCAAAGGGACTTATGAATACTCCACTACAGGCACACACAAAAGGTTAATAAAAGGCTTATTTACAAGGGAAAAGGAAATAAGGAAAATGTACAACTCGGAGAAAATAGGGAAATAAAGTCTTTAATGCGTCCTACCCGATCCGCCGACCTGGAAACCCAAGGTCACTCTCCGAGCTGGCCGGACGCTGCGAGCTGGTGGAGAGCCAAAATGGGGGACCCCCACAAAGCCCACGTGTCTGGCTTTATACCAACCTGGCTGCTTAACCCCACCCTCAGGTCCCAGCCACCTTCCCTTTGGTGGTGATGGGATTTGGAGTTCCCAGTGTCTTTGGCTTTGGCCTGGGGTGGGGGTGGAGTCCACAAAGCCTGTAAGTGTAACAGGGTGGTCCCCAGGAAAGGGGGAGGTTCCAGCTTCCCTGCCCCACCCAAGGAAGGGTGGAGCTGAGCAGGGAGAGAAGAAGCTACAGAAGAGACTGAGGAAGGAAGGAGCAGGATGGAGCCAGGAGACCTGGAGGAGGTGCATGGAGCCTAGAGACACGTGAAAAAGCTGCGCTTGTCTTTTGGTCGTGGACTGGGTGACACAGATGTGGGTGAGACCCGTGGGGAGGTGACCATGGCAGCTTTTATCTTGATGTTGATTTTGCTCTTTTCCTTCCGGGCTTGTCCAGTTGTTTCTGACCCTTTTCTGTGGGTCCCCACTGAAAGATGCTTTAGACTTATGGCAGGCTTTGGGGCCTTGCTCTGGGCCAATCCCATATGGATGGACTTTTACCCACGAGGGGATGGGTAACTTTAGGTGCTTCATTTAGAAACTAGACTCTTTGCCTTACCTGTATTGTTTCCTAGTTTTATTAAAGTTCCTTCCCATTAAAGTCTCCTATGTTTTGTGTTGATGCGGCGGATGGCAGAACCCATTTAAAATAGGCAGGTTTGCGGGGCTTGGGCTGCCCCTCTCCCTGTCCTATAACATAAGGAATTAGCTTTAGGACATCCTTTTCCCCCTAACATACCTGCATAGTCACAGGTGGGCAGTGGGAGTGCTGCCCCCAGCCTGTGCAGAGACTGCACTGACAAAGTCCTCTTCTCTTTGGGAGGGCTCACTCCTCCGTGGAAGGGCCTGCTTGTTGCTGATTTGGGATAACTAGGCAAAACCAGGAAGGGACCAGAGATTCCAGGGTGGGCCCAATCTCCATATCTTTACCCTCAGGCCTGTGCTCCACTCCCTGTAGCATCTGAGACTGCTTGGGTCTCATGCCTTGTGATAAGGCGCTGGTGCCTGAGGGTCATGACCTCCACAGCTGGGTTAATGGTCATGTTATTCCCCTCGACCCCCACCTCCTTGTGAGTCAGGTTCTGGTCTTGGGGCATCTCCTTTCCAGTCTTTCTGTTCTTGTCCTCCATCACAGGGAGCAGCCCAAGTTGAAGTAAAAATGTTCCACAACCAGAACAGAGTCCAGAGGGCTGGGAAGATTTATGAGTGAAGAAAAAGAGAGTAGAGCAAGATGGAAAGAGAGCAGGATTCTGCCTCTGAATTGAAATAAAGTTTGTTTGGAATCTGTAGTTTAACCAGGGAATAATATGTATTTTCAGAGACTTCAAAAACTAAATGAGCACCTGAAACCTGTATAATGCTATATACCAAATGTCACTTTGATACTGGAATTGTCAGGCCTAGTCTCTCAGCCAGGAATGGATCCCAGGCTGCAGGGGCAGCGCTGAGCCCCAGCCACTAGACCCCAACGAGTTGGTGTCTCACAAAGCCACAGCAGGAACTTCGCAGACTCTCAGGCAAGCAAGTGAGAGGAGGCAGGTTTGTTTAGAGAAAGAAAAAGTTTATTGAGAAAAAGAACAGAAATAAAGTAGGACTCCCAGGCCAGGGAACCAGGCCTGGGAGGAGCAAGGAAGCCAAAGTGGAGTTGTGCTCAGGGAATATTGACCTTCTTTCCCTCATTATTCTAAAGCTGCCCCAGTCTCTTTGTGATTAGTTAGTTCTCGGCTGTCTCACTTAATTTGCTACTGAGTGGGGATCTTCACATTCCTTATCTAACAGCTTTCTCTTTCCCCATTTGTTGCATCTTTATCTTTATGGCCCAGTCCTCTGGATGGGCATCCCTGCATTGAAGTTAAACAGCTGCCTTTTAAGTTGTCCATAAATTAAACCACTCTCCATTTCCCCAATCTCTACCTCCCTTTACCACCTGAAGGAAACCAAGGCCAGCGTTAACAATGTTGTCCTTGGTCCTGGGATATTTGTTTTTCCAGGTGGAATTAGTTACACTCCTCTTGCTGCCCTTATCTCTGAAGCCTTCCTCAACTCTCCGAGGTCCCCTCCTGCAGTGTCCCTAAAACTGCCTAATTCCTAGCTTGCCCTGTGTCTCAACTTCAATTAAAAAAAAACTTTTAATTAAAAAAATATGAGGGCTTCTGGGGCAGTGAGTGGCTGGGTCAATGGCATGACAGATCCACTTCCTCAAAGGGAAAAATTGATCTGCTGTTGGGAATATCCTGAATGTTGCATGGATGTAAAACCCACTCTCCGAGAAGACTGAAATGAGAGAGCACTCACACACCAGAGTGAGAACCTGCAGCAAATATCAGCTACTATTGTAGAGCAGCCCTGATACAAAACAGGGTGCCTGACTGTGGGTCCTCACCCGAGCGCTTGAAAGGACTTATCAATGCTCTACTGCAGGCACACACGAAAGGTTAATAAAAGGTTTATTTACAAGGGAAGGGGAAATGAGGAAATGTACAGCTCAGGGAGAAAAGTGGGAGACAAAGTTTTAAATAAGTACTACCCGATCCACCCATCAGGAATCCCAAATGGCACTATGAGAGCTGGCAGCAAGCCAGGAGCCATGAAGCCAGGAGGTGAGCAACAGTGAGCCCCCCAAGGCCCACATGTTTGGTTTTTATATCCAACCTGGCTGCCCAACTCCACCCTCAGGTCCCAGCCACCCTCCCTTTGGTGGTGACGGGATTTGTCTTTCCCAATGTCTTGATGGCTTTGGTCTGGAGTGGGGGTGGGGTCCACAAAGCCTGTATGGGATTAGCTCAGGACAGCATTTCCCCCTAACACTACAATGCAGCTTCTGAGCAAGGCCGCCCTGGTGCAATCGCCCCATTCCTCTACGCTGGAGGTGCCCACTGATGTTTTTGGGGTTTTTGGATTTGGAGAGCAGGGTCCTTGAGTTCCCTCTGGGAAAGGTTTTTTTTTTTTTTTAATTAATATTTTATATAATTCTTACATCATTTTTTCATTTTTGCACAATGTATTCATTATCATTTTGGTTAAATTCCCCATACAATTGCACCCCCCCTTATTTTGACCCTAGTCCTTCCTCTTCCCTTCCCTCTCCCCCCGCAACAAAGGTTTTGTAAAAGGGTGGTCCCCAGGAAAAGGGGAGGTTCCAGGTTCCCTGCCCCACCCAAAGGAGGGTGGAGCTGAGCGGGGAGGAGAAGCAGGAGAGGAGACTGGAGAAGGAAGTGTAACAGGGTGGTCCCCAGGAAAGGGGTAGGTTCCAGGTTCCCTGCCCCACCCAAGGGAGGGTGGAGCTGAGCAGGAAGAGGAGAAGCTGGAGAAGAGACTGAGGAAAGAAGCAGGATGGAGCCAGGAGACCTGGAGGAGGCACATGGGGCCTAGAGACACGTGAAGAAGCTGCGCTTGTCTTTTGGTCGTGGACGGGGTGACACAGATGTGGGTGAGACCCATGGGGAGGTGACAATGGCAGCTTTTATCTTGATGTTGATTTTGCTCTTTTCCTTCCGGGCTTGTCCAGTTGTTTGTGACCCTTTTCTGTGGGTCCCCACTGGAAGATGCTTTAGACTTGTGGCAGGCCTTGGGGCCTTGCTCTGGGCCAATCCCATTTGGATGGACTTTTACCCACGAGGGGACGGGTAACTCTGGATGCTTCATTTAGAAACTAGACTAGAAACTAGACTCTTTGTCTTACCTGTATTGTTTCCTAGTTTTATTAAAGTTCCTTCCCATTAAAGTCTCCTATGTTTTGTGTTGATGCGGCGGATGGCAGAACCCATGTAGAATAGGCAGGTTTGCGGGGTTTGGGCTGCCCCTCTCCCTGTCCTATAACAGAAGGAAGCTGGATGGAGCCAGAAGGAGACCTAGAGGAGGCACATGGAGCAGAGAGATGTGTGAAGAAACTGCGCTTACTTCTTGGTCTTGGACTGCTTGAAACAGGCATGGGTGAGAGACCCTTGAGGAGGTTAACAATGGCAGCTTTTGTCTTGATTTTGATTTTGCACTTTGCCTGGATGTTTCTGACCCCTTTCTATGGATCCCTGCGAGAAAGTGCTTTAGACTTGTGGCAGGCTTTCAGGCCTTGCTCTGAGCCAATCCTGTTTGGGTGGACTTTTACCCACGAGGGGATGGGTAACTTTGGGTGTTTGATTTAGAAACTATGTTTTTTGTCTTGTCTGTATTGTTTACTACTTGTATTAAAGTTCCTTTCCATTAAAGGTCTTCTGTGTTTTGTCTTGATGCAATGGATGGCAGAACCTATTTAGAGCAGGCAGTTTTGGGGGTTCTGGGGTGTCTCTCTACCAGATTCACCAGAGCTCCTGTTGAAGGGGAAAATAAATCTTTTCAGCTCCCTGCTGAAGGGTTTTAGGCCTGGTGCAATTAATAATCCAATGCAATTGTAATCAACAAGCTTTGCTCACTTAACAAATCTTTCCTTAGCAGACTAACAAAGTTACAAGGGCAGGCAGCCGGCCAAGTTAGTCTATCTTTTCAAGGCCTTCCCGAGATGTCTGTGTTCCTGCCATTTCCCATCCCCTTGTTCGGGAACTTTGTAGCAAATAGTGTTATCAATATAAGAATAGTTATATATAAAAGAAATTCTTTGTCTGTAAACAGGTGCTCAGACCTTACAGGGCTACCCAGGTCTGGGACTTCATGCATGACCTTGTTAGGGGGAAAGGATGTCCTAAAGCTAATTCCATACAGGCTTTGTGGACTCCACCCCCACTCCAGACCAAAGCCAAAAGACACTGGGAACCACAAATCCCATCACCACCAAAGGGAAGGTGGCTGGGACCTGAGGGTGGGGTTAAGCAGCCAGGTGTGGTATAAAGCCAGACACGTGGGCTTCATTTTGAAAGAAACACAATTTATACCATACTTTGTTAGCTTTAGAAATCTTGGTATCTGTCACCTGACTACTCAAGTATCTGTCAGTTTCCTACTCAGGTAAGTAACCCCATAGGGGTACTTTGTATGGACAAAATAAATATGTTGATTTCTACTGTCAGATGTTTTTGAGGTCCAATGAAGCAGTTGTTTGAAACAGCAAGGCATGGACCCTTCTGTTTCCTTTTCACTGAAGGTTCTTCCCTGAGATTGGTCTTGGGCATGATTCTTATTCATACCTGAACCTTTCTCATTGCATATCTCAAAGCAACTGTTGTGTCACTGAAGAGTTTTTCAGACCACAGATGAAACATTACCCCCTTTGAGGTGGTGGCGGTGGGTTCCAGGAAAGAAGCAGTATCTACTATGTATTTTGGGTCAGTGACTCTGAAAACAGTCATTTCCCCAGCTTGCTATCCTTATATGTGCTTATCACTTATGACTTTTGTTTTTCTTCTGCATCCAGGGGGCTAGGCTTCAAATTGTTGACTTCTGATATTGGCAGATTTCACAATGTGATGCAACTTCTTTGTTGTCAGTAGGTGATTTCTCCAGGGCAAAGACAAATTTCTAAAATCTAAATAAATGTGAAGAAAAGTAATACATTACTGATTGTTGTTATTGTTTAAGAGTGTGACTTTAGTGAGAAAATTATTTTTTAATTTTTAGTAAAAAAATAAGCATATAGTACAAAATATAGTACATACTTCAAAACAGAAAGATTTCTAAAATAACACAAAAGTGTCCATAACTTAATCAGATCCACCATTAACATATTGCCTTACTTAGTTTGTTGCCATTTTTTTTTGAACCATTTGGGAATAAACTATAGAAAACAGATCCCTTATTCCTAAATACTCCAATGTCTATTACCTAAGGACATTCTCTTTTTTTTTTTTTAAAGATTATTTATTTATTTACACAAGCACCAGGACAGTCAGAAACGCAGGAGGGTGAGAGAATTCACCAGAGCCAGAGTGGGGAACAGAATAGGCAGACTGATGAAATACACTGCTGAGGGAAGCAGCAGGCCAGGCAGGAGAGGTCTGCGTGCCATGTGGGACCCTCGCCAGCAGCCGGGGATGGAACCAGCTCTGCAGAGGCTGCACGCAGTTTCGCAGCCTAGTGCTCAACTGCTGCACCACCAGGGGAGGCCCAGGACATTCTCTTATATAACCACAGTGTCAAGGAAAGGACATTTGACATCAACACATTTTTGAACAAAATTTAAATTTAGTTATTTGTCATTTAGAGCAAATATTTCCCTTGGTCCAGGACCTACACCAGAAAGATGTGTTGCATTTATTTGACATGTCTATCTGGTATCCTATAATCTAGAATGGCCTTACCGCCTTCTTTGTCTTTCATGACCTTAACAATTTTGAAGAATATGACCTATTTATTTAGTAAAATGGTCCGCATTGAGTCTAATGTTTTCATGATTTGACTTCAGCAATACCTCAAAAGAGTTGTGTCCTTCTCAGTGCATCCCATCAGGAGGAATGTGATGTCATTTTGTTCCATTTTTGGTGACCATTTGGTTAAGATAGTGTCCTTCAGCTTTCCCCATTATAAAGTCTCTGCTTTTTCTTACATGGATTAACATGTACTTTGTGGGAAGACACTCAGAGGCTATGGAAATATATTTCTTTTTATCTTTAGGCACTAGTTATAGCAACCATTCATGATTCTTGCCATGACATTTACAAACTAGTGAAGGAAACATACAGTCATGTGCCTCACATTGACATTTCAGTCCATGACAACCTCATATATGATGAGTCCCAAAATTCTAGTTGCTTCTCAAAGTCATCCTCAACTACACCCAAGTTAAAGTTGATTGCCATCTCAATCATACCTTCAACGTTCAGTACAGTGACATGCTGCACAGGTTTATAGCGTGGGAGCAATAAACTATACCATCCAGCCTAAGTGTGCAGTAAGCTATACCATCTAGATTTTGTAATTACACTCTATGACTTTTCCACAATGATGAAATTGACTGACAAAGCATTTCATAGAACATATCCTTGTCATTGAGCAATATATGATTATATTGAGTGTTCTTTTTTTGTAAAGATTGCAATATTTTTTTCTAGTAGCAGCATTATTTCACTGACCATCCAAAACCACCCACCATTCCCACACAAACCATGTCCTGTTCTCTCATCCATAAAAAGGGACAAAGAGTATTTCCCACAATAAAATAACCAGCACAGTGGTGCTTAGATGTGATGCCTAAGTGTTCAGACCTTGGTCTGGATCCAAGGACCTTTAAATCATGTGATATTGACTCACCTGATCATGTTAGAAGAACATTGATGAGCTAAAAATTGGAGAGAATTTATGTATGCACCAGCCCCGTATGAAATTGTTTTCAGCAGGCTACCCACATGGCAGTCTTCTCTAAACATTGCAGTCAGATACAATAGTTAACCTTATCTAAATATGTGTTAGGGCCTCCCTGGTGGTGCAGGCATTTGAGCACCACACTGTGAAGCTGTCCGCAGCCTCTGCAATGTGGGTTCATTCCCAGCTGGCCAGGGAGAAACCCACATGGAGCAGCAGACCTCTCCTGTCTTGCCCACTGCTCTCCTCAGCAGTGTATTTCGTCAGTCTGCCTGTTCTGTTCCCTGCTCTGTCTCTGGTGAATCCTCTCACCCTCCCGCACATCTGGCCTGTACCCCAGTTCTTGCATAAATAAATAAATCTTTAAAAAAAAAAATATGTCTTAGGGCCTCCGCTGGTGGCACAGTGGTTGAGCGGTGGGCTATGAAGCTGCCTGCAGCCTCTGTAGCGCCAGTTCGATCCCCGGCAGCCAGTGAGGGTCCCACATGGCGCGCAGACCTCTCCTGACGCACCAGCTGCTCCCCTCAGCAGTGCCTTTGGTCCATCTGCCTGCTCTGCTCCCCGCTCTGGCTCTGGTGAATTCTCTCACCCTCCTGTGCTTCTGACTGTACCCAGTGATTGTATAAATAAATAAGTCTTTAAAAAAAAAATATGTCTTAGTAGTGACATACTTCTAGAAACATACTGAGCCCTACATGTCCACTCTGTGTTGCCTTTGCTATCAGGTTTCCCCCGGAATCTTGACTGTATGGGTTCTTACCACGCAGTGCCAGATACCTTCCATGCAGTACCTCATTTAACCCTCACAGTAGACAAGTGCACCTGTTAACCTCAGTTTGCAGGTAACAACAGCTGTCTATAGAGATTAATGGTTAGTAATTTGCCTAGGTTCCACTTAGTATTAGTAAGAGACAAATCCTGGAAGGGAAGCTGGACTGAGTCCAGAACCTTCTGTTTTAACTGCTATGTTATTCTCGTGCAAAACAACCCCAGAGATTGTTCTTGGAAGGGCCAGAATTAGGGTGAGTAGGGTGAGGCACTTAGGACGCAAAATTTAAAGAAACCCTCACCCTCAAGTGCTTATGTGCACAACATTGAGAGTGAATGCCCCCTAAAATTTGCTCCCTAGACTCTTTCTTATTTCACCTTCCCAAAACCAGTTCTGGGGAGGATTGGTCAGTTCCTCCCTAATTCATTGTGCAATAATTCATATATACTCTTGGGATACATGGGAATGTAGGGATTTCAGTTTTCTTTATTTGACCAACAGACAGGCTAGCCAGTTTTGAGCCTACTCCATTCCAAGCATAATGCTAAACACAGAGGAAAGAGCAGAGATTAAGATGAACCTTCCTCTCCTATGGCTTACAGGTACAAGCAATCATTTCTGATGGAACTAATATGACAGGGCAATGCTTGGGCCTTCTTAAGAATCTTCTTAACTAAGCATTAGCACATTTTTTGAGGATTTCCATGCACACACATAGATTAAACTTTCCTTTTTGACAACCTCATTGCTTTTCCATCAGATTTAACTTTTTGTGTTTACTTTGCTTGTGGTTTACTTTCCCCACTAATAGAATGTGCACTGCTGGGTACTAGTTCAGTTGTGCTTCCCCTAGGATTTCTTTCCAGAACATAGCTCTTGACAAGACTAGATTTCAGAGATATGGATTTAAAATTTAGCCTTGCCACTTATTACGTATTTAGAAAAGTCACTCATGCCCCGGGCATTTCATCTGTGAAATGGGGATATGAATACCTCATTTGCAGAGTTGTGAAGATGAAATAAAAACAATTTAAATACCTATAAGGCAGATAGCTGTGTTCAGCAGATGCCCATTGTCTACTCTTGTTTCTTTATTGGTCTACCCTTGTCCCAAGATTATCCTTCCCAGGGGTCACACTAAAGTGATACAGGCAACAATCACTCTTTCATCACAATTAGGTATCACCCAGGCAACAGACACCACGGTAGGTCTTTGGCTGCCGAAAGTGTTCTGGCTTTCCTAGTACCTGCTGTAGAGTGGAAGTGTCAAAAAGTAAAATCTAACTGAAAGCACATTTTGTTGGAAAACCAATTTGAAAGTATTTCTCATTTCAAATACAGATAATTACTTTTATTTCCTCTCTTGAGTGATCTCAATAATTGGAGTTGATTAAATAGATTAAGCTCTGTAAACCTAGCAGAATAACATTTTTAATGTATTAAACTACTTCAAGACATAGAAACAAATGCTAATGTATAATATATGAAATATTTCCCAGGGGAGGACAGCAGGGAGCAGCTAAAAATCACACAGTGGCATAAAATACATTGTTCTCAACATGGAACGAGTGCTATGCACAACTTTTAAAAATTCATTTTACTCTTTTTGGAAATGCTACCCCCCAAAAACAAAAGTCACAAAAAGCGACTTTATAGAACTACATGCATAAGGCAACATCTGTTTCTATGCCTTTGAATATTTTTACATTCATATTTTCAATAAATTTGAAGGGACTGGCATTTTCCTTTTTCTTTCATGAGCTTATCCAAGCCCAGCTCATGGGTTCTCACTCTATATGCCAACTCTTGGGGAATGGAATAGAACAGAGAAACCATTTGACTAAACAACCCAGTGATGTGGTTGCCACACAATGGTTTAAAGCTTAAAATTGAGTTTGGGAGACACTATAGTGAAAATAACTCCAACTCAGAGCAGTTAAGAAACTGGTTCTTAAGCCCTGGCATAAGCTATTTTTCACAAATAATAATTCTGCATGACTGGAGAATGATTTAAAATGTAGTCTTGTAAAATTGAAAGCATCTTTTTCCTCATTTCCTCATCACCATTTCTAGTTGCAAATTGAACAATATCAGCATAGTAAAGTGATAGTTCCATAAATCAAATCAATTCTTTGCTGCAAAGTAAGAGTCTGAATTTTCGTTAGTTCTAAAAACTCTTAAGTATAGGCTTCAGATAGATAGCATTTTAAGGTAAAACTTCTCTGAATTTGACCATCATTTTTGAATTTCAGTCGTATGACTGTGCATTTACTCTAAGTAGGCCTATTTTTTTCCCTTTATTTTTTTAAGATTTATTTATTTATGCATACAAGAGCTGGGGTACAGGGCCAGTGTGGTGGGCGGGGCGGGGGGGGGGTGCGGGGGACAGTGAGAGGACTCACCAGAGACAGAGTGGGGAACAGAACAGGCAGAATATACTCCTGAGGGAAGCAGCAGGCAAGACAGGAGAGGTCTGCTGTGCCATGTGGATTAGCTCCCTGGCCAGCGGGGGATTGAACTGTGCTGCAGAGGCTGCAGATTGCTTCATAGGGTTGCTTCATAGTGCTGTGCTTAACCCCTTGCGCCACCAGGGAGGCCCTATTTTTTTTTTCCTTTCAGTAGATGTGATACGAGAAGGGAAGGGACAGATCACCACTGTGCCTTTCAATGCACACTGTACAGTGTGCTTTTAAATGTGCCGGCACTATTCAGACTTAATGCTACAGTATAGGGGCAAAAAACACATCTGATTTTTGCATTTTGAAATGTTTAAATCATAACATCTGTGATTATAAATGACAGAAAAAAAGATTTTTCTTTTCTTCCAGGGAGTAGAAATTGTTCATAACCTTAAGTTAGTGTCTTAAATTTATGAAAGTTATATAATATCTGGTTTCAGAATTTGGTTTCTTCTAACCATTTTATAATGGGAGTTTCCCAAATTATCTGCTTTCTATTTATCTGCACCTCCCTTGGCAACACTAATCAGACTTTTACATTTGATAACACAGTGACTACTTTGATGGCTATCACAATTATGGAAAAGAACTGATAAAACAAAATGAAAGCTTGATGATGCTGATAAATTGTGAGGACTTGAAATGGAGGTACATGAACACCCAGTAAGGGAGAAGTCAGAGATCACCCCTCCCATTGCACCAATATGGGGGTGAAAGTTGAGAGATGGAGATGGGAGATTAGAGAGATGCACCTGACTCCCAGGCCAGCCAGGCAGCTCTGCCTTTCAGTATAAGCACAATAGATCACTTGCTCAACAGTAAGCATCCCTGGCCACAGGTAGAAAATATGTACTTAAAACAAATATAAACCACTGTTTAGAGATCATTCTGCTTTAAAAAAATTTTTTTAAGATAACTATTTTATTATAACAACAAATTTACTACAAGTCAGGCACTACTCCAGGTGTTTTAAAATATAATAACACATTTTGTCATCTCGATAATAGGATATAATGGATCCTGTTTATCCCCATTTTATTGATGAAGAATCTGAGGCACAGAGAGCACCGTAATTTGCCCAAATTCATATGGCTAGTAAGTCAGACATCAGCACACATTTTCTGTAGAGGGTGAGGTGGTAGATATTTTAGACTTTGGACCTCCGGGTCTGGCACTACTACCCAATCCAGCTCTCGTGGAGAGACACTAGCCCTAGCTGGCACATAAAGAATAGGTATGTTCATATTCCAACAAAATTTTACTTGTGGACATTGAAATTTGAATTGCACAGTTTGCCACTGTACTGAAATATTAATCCTTTTTTATTTTTTTCAGCTATTCAAAGATCTAAAAATCATTCTTAGCTCTCCAGCAGTATAAAAACAGAGCACAGGTAGGTTTAGCGTTGAGCTATAATTTGCTGCAGTACATGGTAGAACAAGGATTTGCGCACAGAGAGCATGGTTCCAGCGAGTCTGTGAATACACACACACATACTGTATGTCATGATAAAAGGAAACGATGATAGTTACAGAAAATTCAGCGAAGTACAAAGGAAAAATAATGAGCACCCATAAAAACACAACCCACAGGGCCTCCCCAGTGGCGCAGCGGTTGAGCGCTGGGCTGCGAAGCTGCCGCAGCCTCTGCAGCACCGGTTTGATCCCCGGCAACAGGAGAGGGTCCCACATGGCGCGCAGACCTCTCCTGCCGCCCGCTGCTCCCCTCAGCAGTGTGCTTCGGTCCTTCTGCCTATTCTGCTCCCCGCTCTGTCTCTGGTGTATTCTGTCACCCTCCTGCGCTTCTGACTGTACCAAGTGCTTGTATAAATAAATAAATCTTAAAAAAAAAAAAAACACAACCCAGAAATAACTACTAGTATTATTTGATATTTTCTTTCATTCTTTTGTCCACTGCACGCAGTATTCAATTTATTTATTTTTGTTTTCCTTTAGCATAGCATCTTCCATGTATCACATAAGTGAAAATTTCAATAACTGATATATAATGATTTATTTTAATGTACCAGAAGCAATGGCTATTTTAAAAGAATCTTACAACTAATCATTTCATAAAGCAAAGAATCCTTTATTTAAGTGAGCAGCTGGTGACCTTTCCTTTTTCTATCCTATATTTGGGTTTCTTTGGATTTTCTTAAAGCAACTTTGTCTGCAGACAGGGATGGAGTAGAAAAACTTTGTAATCCACCAGATCCGAATTTGACTTTTCATTGTCCCTTTCCTAGCCAAATGGCCCTGAGGAAACGGTCACCTTCCCCACACCTTAATTTCCACTTGTTCCAAAAATAAACCACAACCATCAATGCACAGTAACGACCTGGGACCTGACACAGACCAGCAGTCATTTGACAGACGTCAGCCCCTGTGTTCTCTGCACCCCCACCACCCTCAGTCCCTAACACCACTCACAGGAAATAGATTATTTCCCTCGTGATTGTAGAGAAATTGTCCTTTTCTGTTTTGTGCTCCAGAAGAGTATTCTCCCTGGAGTGCAAATGGACAGGCAGACATGGGGAAACTCGAAGTATTAATGAGGTGACCTGCCCTGGAAGCCTCCACCTGTCCCGCCCCTCCTGCTCCACCCCAACCAAGAGGTTATTAATGAAGTTTCCGAACTGGGCATTTCCCAGGTTTCTACAACAGCAAGTGGCATTCAGGTGTCAGCAGAGGCGGCGTTGATTTTCACAGACACAGAGGACGTCTAGGCGAGCCATCTGGGAACCCCGAGTCCAGCCAATTCCCCCCGGCCAAGAGCTCATGGAGCTGGAGCAGGTGCCCGCCTCCAGCGCCGAGGGCTACAGCAACGCCGGCTTCCAGGTGAGCAGAAGTGTTGTCCTCGGGTACAGACCAAGGAACCGGAATTAACGCTCTTTGCTTGCCTCCTTGGCAAGTTTCTTCACTAAAGTAGTGAGGTCTTAGTTTCCAACACGATTTTTAATGCCACTCTTTAAGCTAACTATTGTTTTTCCTTCTTGGGTTGATAAACCTGAAAAGCCTCTTTTAACTAAGCTTGTTTTAATCCTGATTTGCCCTGTCACTCAGGGGGAAAACCTGCCTTTGCTTTTGTTTCTGACTCACAGCAGGGTAGGGTGTTTACTTGCAGCCACTTAAAAAAAAAAAAAAAAAAAACTGGTAAGAGGGAAAGAAGAGGGGAAACTCAGATGGTCATTAACACCTAAGGGCTCCTTTCTCTGAAACCTGTGCTCAGGGTCCCTCTCCAGGAGGGTCCACCCCAGCTGAGGTGGTTTATGCAAAGCAGCTTCAAGTCACCATCAACCAAACTCACTGAGTGATCACTGCTGTCTGGCTGGGTTGGGTGCTGGTGCCGAGGGGGCAGGGAAGAGGAGTCCTATCGCTTGGAAACCCCAAGCTAGCTTCTCACAGGGTCTGGGATCAGGAGCTCTCAGTGCTGTTCCTAGGTGAGCGCCTTTTCCTGATCTGACCCTCCTCATGGGAGCCCACAAGAACAAGTGTCTGCAGCCCCTTGAGCTTCAAGGTCACTGAACAAGCAAAATAAGCATTTAGGTTCTGTAATTGCAGTAACATTGGCATAGACTTCAAACCCAGACAAATTGAGTACAAAAAAATCTGAGGTTGGAAGTAACTATGCAAAGCAGAGAGGAAGAGAATTGTTTCTCCTTAACTTATTAGTCAGACAGGTCAAGAATCACACTAAGCCTGTGGAGCAGTTTTGCGCAATGCTCAAGACAGGGGTAACTGTAGCCACCCTTTTTTCTAGATGCTTTCTTTTTTCTACAAATATATTAAAACAGGGCCTCCCGGGTGTGCAGCGGGTTGAGGGCTGCGCTGTGAAGCTGTCCGCGGCCTCTGCAGTGCGGGTTCAATTCCTGGTTGGCCAGGGAAATTTCCACATGGCATGGCAGGCCACTCCCATCTCACCCACTGCTCCCCTCAGCAGTGTCTTTGGTCCATCTGCTGTTCTGCTCCCCGCTCTCTCTGGTGAATTCTCTCACCCTCCTGTGCCTCTGACCTGTACCCCAGTTCTTGTATAAATAAATAAATCTTTTAAAAAGATATATATTAAAATATATATTAAAATATATATATTAAAATAATATATAATATATATGTATTTTTTAGGCATACAAAAACTGGGGTATAAGCCAAAGGTGCGGGAGGTGAGAGGATTCACCAGAGACAGAGTGGGGAACAGAACAATCAGATAGACTGAAGTACACTGCTGAGGGGAGCAGAACAACACATGACAGCAATTTGCTGTGTGAAGGAAGTTAGGAAACTCTTTACTCATTCTTCTTCAAGTCATTATGAGCCTACCTAGACCTTCTTTTTTCCGGGGGGAAAAAAATAGGCTAGATGACTAACCCAAGACACTTCCTTGACGTCTCTGAGGATTTAGGGATTTAGTTTTTTCCTCATTCAAGCATGCCCGAATGTTCCCTTTAAAAGAGAAAACCCACTTATTCATCAGTAGGTAAGGCAATGGAAAGAAAACAAGAAATCACTGATAGTGTGGATCAATGTAGATGTGTTATATAGAATATATATTATTCAATAATATTAGCCCTCAGCAAATATCTACATATATTATACATATGTTGTATATGTATATGTAATACTTATATTGTGTTATATATAATACATGTGATATATTATAAAATTATATATGATATATAATATATAATAAATACATATTCTAATACTTTTTATAATTTTTTACTGAGGGAACATTGGTTTACAACATTGTATGTGCAATTAATTGTTCTGATGTTGTTTTTATTTCTGTAAGGTTGGTAATAATGGTTTATGTTCCTCCTGATTTTAGTTATTTGTGTCTTCTTTTTTTGTCAGTTTAGGTAGATTTGTCAATTGTTGTTCCTGTCAAAGAATCAACTTTTTGTTGCATTGATTCTATTGTTTTTCTAGTCTCTATTTCATTAATCTCTAATCTTCATTTTCTTTTTTCTGTTAGCTTTAGTTTAGTTTGCGCTTTTGTAGTTTTTTACAGTGGAAGATTCTGTTATCGATTTATATATATATTAAAGATTTATTTTATTTATGCATACAAGAACTGGGGTGTAGGCCAGAGGTTCAGGGGGTGAGAAGATTCACCAGAGATAGAGTGGGGAGCAGAACAGGAGGATCTACTGAAATACACTGCTGAGACAGGAGAGGTCTGCTGGGCCATGTGGGTAGCTCCCTGGCTGGGGATCAAACTCATGCTGCAGTGGCTGCTGATAGCTTGATAGCGCCATCTTTAACCCTGCACCACCAGGGAGGCCCTTGACTTGCTTTTTTTTTATGCATACAAAAACTGGGGTATAAGCCAGAGGTGCAAGAGGTGAGAGGATTCACCAGAGACAGAGTGGGGAACAGAACAATCAGATAGACTAAAGTACACTACTGAGGGGAGCAGTAGACGAATCAGGAGAGGTCTGCTGCGCCATGTGGATAGCTCCCTGGCCGGGGATCGAACTCGTGCTACAGAGGTTGCAGACAGCTTCACAGCACTGTGCTCAAACTTGATTTGCTTTTAAATAAATTTATAGATATAAATTAGGCCTCTAATAGTCACAAGACAGGGAGATTACTGCCCTCCAACAACTTTTTTAAGTAACAGAAGAGGTCACATCCTTTCTATTTTTGTCTCACTCTGCCCCTCCTCCCAACTCCTTTACCAGATCGTTAGGGTGATGGATAGAGACAGGGGAGTGAAGCTCAGAGGCAAAAGCAAAGCACTATGAGAAGTACAGAGAATACCAGGTGGAAGGGAAAGTGAAGTATGGGTGGTCAGGAGCCCTAAGAGCTTCCCAGAAAAAAAGAGGATCCAGAGCTGATAGCTGCTTACTTGTGTCGTCCTATTTATTGGTCCTTTATTTCTTCCTGTAGTTTTGAGTTATTATAAGTATCCTTTCATCTCAGCTTGAAAGACTACTGTAGTTTTTCTTGTAGGAAACACCTGCTAACAATGAAGTCTCTTTTTGTTTATGTGGTCTTCTCCTAATTTTTGGAGAATACTTTTGCTAATTAAAGAATTATTAACTGAAAGGGTTTTTTTTTCTTTCATCACTTTGAATATGTTGAATATGTATGTCATCTCACTGCCTCCTGGCCTCCATAATTTCTGATGAGAAATCAGTTGTAATCTTATTGAGGATTCCTTGTGAGTTCCCTTTTGCTAGTTTCAAGATTCTCATTTTGTCCATGACTCTTCAAAGTTTGATTATGATGTCTTTAGTTGCGATTCTCTTTATGGTTTTGTTATTGTTGTTGTTTTTAAAAGATTTATTTATTTATTTTATACAAGAACTGAGGTACAGTTCAGAAGTGCGGGAGGGTAAGAGAATTCACCAGAGCCAGAGCAGGGAGCAGAACAGGCAGACGGAGCGAAGACACTGCTGAGGGGAGCAGCGGATGAGGCAGGAGAGGTCTGCTTCCCCATGTGGGGTTCTCCCTGGCCGGCGGGGAATCGAACTGGCGCTACAGAGGCTGTGGACAGCCTCGCAGCGCAGCGTTCAACCGCTGCTCAGGAAGGCCCAGTTCTCTTTATGTTTATTCTATTTGGATTGCATTAAGCCTCTTAGATATGTAGATTAATGCTTTTCATTAATGAATTGGCAAGTTTTCAAATGTTATTTCTTAAAATACTCTTTTGCCCCTTTCTCTCCTTCTGGGACTGCCGCTAAGTATGTGTTGGTATAATTGATGGTGTCCCACAGGTCTCTGAGGCTCAACATTTCTTTTTTTTTTTTTTAGGTTTTATTTTTTTTTAAATAATAAATTTTATTTTTATATTCCCCATAAATTTGCAACCCCCCCATTCTGACCCCAATTCCTCCCCTCCCCCCCCACTCCCCAAAAACTGTCTCTGGTTCATAGTTTTTTGTTGATTTTGATTTTCACTTTCTTATAGTTATTCATTTTCCTGGTCCCTTATTTAAGTTCTCTAGATTCCTGCTATGAGTGAGACCATCCGGTATTTTTGTTTTTCTTTCTGGCTTATTTCACTGAGCATGATCCCTTCCAGCACCATCCATGTTGCTGCAAATTGCATGTGTTTATCTTTTTTGAATGCTGAGTAATATTCCATGGTATATATGTACCACATCTTCTTGATCCAGTCATCCATTTTTGGGCATTTGGGCTGTTTCCAAAGCTTAGCTATTGTAAATAGAGCTGCTATAAACATAGGGGTGCAGGTGTTCTTTGGAATTGATGTATTGATGTTTCTGTGTCCTTTGGGTAAATACCTAGGAGTGGAATTGCTGGATCATATGGAAGCTCTATGTTTAGTAGGTCCAGAAATCTCCACACAGCTCTCCATAGTGGTTGGACCAGTTTGCACTCCCACCAACAGTGCAGAAGAGTTCCTTTTTCTCCACACCCTCGCCAACATTTGTTGTTGCTACTTTTTTTAATATGTGCCATTCTCACTGGTGTAAGATGGTATCTCATGGTAGTTTTGATTTGCATTTCCCTGATTACAAGTGATGTTGAACATTTTTTCATATGCCTGTTGGCCATTTGCATTTCCTCTTCAGAGAAGTTTCTTTTTAGCTCTTCTGCCCATTTTTTGACTGGATTATTTTCTTTGTTGTTGTTGAGTCTCATCAGCTCTTTGCAGATTTTTGTGATCAGTCCTTTATCATTAGTGTTGTGTGCAAAAATGTTCTCCCAGTCGGTGGGGTTTCTCTTTGTTTTTGTTATTGTCTCTTTTGCTGTGCAGAAGCTCTTTAATTTGATATAGTCCCAGCTGTTTATCTTTGCCTTCACTATCACTGCTTTGGGTGATGTGTCTGCAAAGATGTCTTTGATGTGCATATCACGTAGTGTTTCGC